GCTGGGTGACAGTGCTTAGGAACTCTGTTCCCACTTCTCAATACTGACTCACTCGTGTGACCTTGGGCATCATGCATGTCATTTGTTTCCAGTTATTTTTAGGAAATACTTTGCCATGTAATGGCAGGTTTCTTTAGGGTTTCTAAAGCAAGAAGACTCTTTGATGGTTTGTAACAAGGATCCATGAACGCAGCATTCACAAATGGCCTCCATGAGAACACAGACAAGCATTGCTTTTACAAATTTTGTTAACTTCCTTGTTCAATTAAAAGTATTCCAGATGGGCAAAATGTATAAACTTCTTATCCATGAAGCTAATTTGTATGTTTAGTCCCAATCTCCTCATATCATGGACCTTTATAGAACTTCAATAGAAGAAAAACAGATAATAGAAGACCTATTCAAAAACAAACAAAAAGCAAAGCATGTAGAAATTGTGGGAAATGGAAGGGAGGAATATGGAAAGAAAATTTGCTGATCGCAAAGGCTGCTGGGTTTCTAAAACCAACTGTTTGTCTGTCCACAGTCCAGTCAGTTCATCTATGTGCTGTTAGCAGCTACCAACTGAGGAATACTTACCTACCCTTTATGAAGCTCAACAATGCCGAAAGAAAGCACCAAACTATCGGAGCTTGTTTATAAAGAACTTGGCCTTTACCACCCTGCTCAGGAACTTAATTTCTTCTGTTCAAAAAAACCTACACTACATGACATTAACATTTGACAAGTGCTTTAATAATTATAAATAGAATCTCATTTCGGTATTGAGGTGAGTGAATCCATCTTAAAATGGGAAGAGATAAAAGGTAAGATGTAAAATGTGTGCAGTTAGTACATTAGTCATAGTAACAGTGATACAGGCTAAAATTGTGGGGGTTTTGTTTTTATTTTTTGTCTTTTTGAGACATGGTCTCTCTGTAACCCCAGCTGACCTGGAACCCAGTATGTAGACCAGGCTGGCCTCGAACTTGCAAAGATCTACCTGCCTCAGCCTCCCAAGTGCTGAGATTAAAGGTCTGCGCCACCACACCCAGCTCTAAAATTGTGTTTTAAAAGATTTACACCTATTTATTTATTTAGAGACAGTCTCACTATTGTAGCCCAAGGTGATCTAGAACTCACTATGTAGAGCAGGCTGGCTTTGAACTCATGGAGAGCCTTCTGCTTCTGCCTTCTCAGCGCTGGGATTAAAGGCATGCTTTGTTTCATTTGACAGGCCTTGACCTCTTGATCCTCCTGCCTCCACTTTCCAAGTGCTAGAATTACAGGCATGTACTACTAGCCTGGCTCTAAGCTAACTTTATAGAGTAGTTGCTATAGTGATTTCTAGCTGTGCTCTGAATGATATAGGTAAAGAAATGAAGACTTTTGACTAAATGTCTCTCCGACTTAACCAGGTATCATGATGCATGCCTATAATTGCAGCACTTGGGAGGTAGAGGCAGGAGGATCAGTAGTTCAAGGTCATCTTCTATTTTGTAGCAAGTTCAAGGCCACCCTGTCTAAAAAAACAAAATATTAAAAAAAACCCTCAAAATTGTTTGTGTTACTATAAAAGTAATGTTAAATAAAATCACATTTAGTTACCTCAGAACTCTTTAATAAGAACTAAACAGACCAGCATACACTTGGCATTCACTAAATATCTGTTATTTTGTTTCATTTTGTTTTGTTTGTGGTGCTCATGGTGGAACCCAAGGTCATGTGCAAGTCGGTAGACACTCTAGCACTGGCTATAGGGAGTTAAATGTTTTGCTCTTTATCTTTTTCAGTTCATATCAGTAAGTAGCATTATTTAAAGGCTTATATTTTCTTGGGAGAGGTTGTTCTCCCTTTTGTGGAGATTGCTCTTCTTTATAAACAGCAATAAAACTAATTAAGAAACAGATTGAAAGACATTATTGCATAATCTCCATACATAAGCTCTTAGTATAAGTTGATAGAGACTTCTTTTTCTCCTGTAAAGAATTCTTTGTTGAGGCTGGAGAGATGGCTCAGTCGTTAAGAACACAGGTTGTTCTTGCAGAAGACCCGAGTTCAAATCCCAGAACCCACATGGCAGCTAACAACTGTCCGTAGCTCCAGTTCCAGGGGATCTGACAGCCTCTTCTGACCTCCGCAGGCGTTGCATGACATGGGTGCTCTTACCTACATGCAGGCAGTATACACATACACATAAAATAAAAATAATAAAATTAAAAAAAAAAAAGTTTAAAAGAATTCTTTGTTAACCATGATAAAGTTTTGTGACTATTTGTAACCAGCAAGTCCTGAGGTCCATTGAACATTTGGGTGAGCCTACGCAGTGCAGCTCTCTAGTAGCAAGACTGTTCGGCTGCCACATGGAGCGCACGGGGACTGGTAGAGAATGTCTCAACAGTGACCCTCAATTTTGTCTTCTCTCCGGTACATTTCTTCTAACAATGGCTTTTTTGGCAAATTTAAGATGATTTAGTTAACTCAAAATACTATATTTTAATGAGCTCTTGGGTATAAATGATTTAAGATAGGCACATTAAAGTATGCTATTGCTTAACCTAACCTACCTCTCTAATTAAGCCATTAACAGCTGGCTACTAACCACACAGAAAATTCCCATGGAATTTAGCTTCAATCTGTGGGGTTCAAAGTTGCTGGTGCCCAGGTGCCCACTTGGTTTAGTTTGTCATCTTCTCTTGATTGTGGCTCTTTTTTCACCTGGATTCCTGTTGGCAGTGCTTTATCAAGCCCTTTTATTTTTTTGTCTTTTTAAAACAGGGTCTCCCTGTAGCCCCCAGCTGGCCAGGAACTCACTATATAGACCAGGCTGGCCTTGAACTCACAGAGATATGCCCGCCTCTGCCTCCCCAGTTCTGGAATCCAGGGCATGTGTCAACAGGCCCGGCCTCAAGCCGTCTTCTGTGTCATAGCTGTACTGCTTAGTAGAGAATCATCTTTTGGCGCTTCTTTTTCTTGAATTCATTTTGATGTTCTTCGTGTTAATCAACTCTCCCATCTAGGTCTTTGATAGCAACTGTCTCCTAAGGCCCCTTCAGTGAGCCACATGCTATATGGCTTCAGTGTGTTCTGTTCATATGCTAGGTGAAAGCCTGGTCCCCAGAGCAAAGAGACTGTTGTGGTGCTGAGAATTTTGAGGTAAAGCTTAATGGAATTCTTGTTGACCCTGGCACAAGAGATATGGTTGTAAGATCAGCCTGGCCTCTGAACTTTTCACTTGTTCTTGTCGTGTGATCCCTTCTGCACATGCTCCCCCATCCTAGTGTCATCTTCCATGAGGCCCTCATCAGAAACCATACAGATGAAGTGCCTGATCTTGGATTTTCGGCTTCCAAAACACTAAACCAAATAAACCTATTTTCTTTATTCATTTCTCAGCTTTAAGTATTTTGTTACAGCAATAGAAAACAAGCCTAGTGCACCACATGTGTAAGTTTATTGCTGTACCTAATTCATGCTAAAACATTTTCAGTTTTGTGTAACCTGTGTTTCCTTAGGAGTCATCAACCTGAATGATAAAAAGTAAAGACTAGGGACTGACAAGATGGCAGAAGGTACTTGCTACACAAGCCTGGCAACTTGAATTTAATCCCTGGAACCCACGCATGTGCTCACACAAAACCACACAATAATAGTAATAAATAAAATTTAGCTGAGCATGGTGGTGCACACTTTTAATTCCAGCACTTGGGAGCCACAGACAGGTAGATTCCTGTGAGTTTGAAGCCCACCTGGTTTACATAGCAAGTTTCAGGACACCAGGGCTACATAGTGAGCCCTCTCTCAAAACGCAAATAAGTAGCTGGAGAAATGGCACCGGGTGCGTTTGTTAAGCTCTCATAGAGTTTTTAAAAAGGCTCCTCTTAAAAGGCTCCTCTAGATTCTGTAATGTCATTTGACTGGCTGCTGGCATGCTTTCCTTTAAAAATCTGTGTCAAGTTTTCCTTGGAGTCTAGACTCTAAAGTGGTTTGAATTATAGAGCCCAGCACCATAATCCTCAGTGGTTCTTCAAGGAAACATGTACAGGAAACATCATTCTACCCCAGTTTTGAATGTTTAACCTTTTCTGCTTCTCTGGTGTTGGTTCATCCCCTGCTGTCGTGATGCTGCCAGGGAGGTGGAAGAATAGCTGTCATTGCCGTGTTTACTCAGGGCCTCATGTTTGAGGCCTTCTGCCTCTTAGTGAAATGCATCAGCCTCATGTGAAATTCAAGTATCTGTTGTCGTCTGTCAGCCCACCCACTTTTTGGTTGGTTGTATTTTGAGAAATATAACTTGAGTGGTTATAGCTAGGCTCATGTTCTGGCAGCCCTGTTGAATTTGAAATTTAAACAGCAGTTTTTCTTGCTTTGAGCCTATTGACTATGTATGTTCTCCAGTTCTCATTTATTCTGTGAAGGGAGTATATAGGTAATAGAGCTGTAGCTGGGGGCCTCCTGTCCTTGACCTCCTAGGAGCTATGGTAGGCCTGTTGCCTTAACTCAGGATGTATGTACTGAAGGTTGGCCTTCTTTGATACTATTACTTTCCCTGAAATCAACTTTCTCCTCCTCCTCTTCCTTCTTTTTTTTTTTTTTTTTTTTTTTTTTTTTTGGTCTTTTTGAGACAGGGTCTCCCTTGCCTGAAACTCACTGTGTACACTATACTGGCCTTGAATTCACAGAGATCCACCTACCTCTGCCTCCCAGGTGCTGGGATTAAAGGAATGTGCCACCACGCTCAGCAGATCAACTTTTTTTTTATTGAGCTTGACATCTTGATTGCTTATTAGCTCTATTTGTCCAAAAGTAACATGTTAGACATTGAATGTGCAATCTAACAGCCTATTATTTTAAAAATAAATGATGTGTCTTAGTAAAATCCTAAAAATTCTGAGATTTCCAATTCTAACATTTTTCAAGACTAAATTAAAAATCTGTTTTGTGGGCTGGGTTTGGTAAGAGCGCTGGCCCTGAGTCCAAATCCCCAACAGCCAAACCTAACTTTTTTTTTTTCTCCTTCTCACAACTCAGATAATACCTTTCATCACAGTTATCAGACTGGGGTGGTACGAACCTAACTTTTTATAGGTAAGCATGGTTTTTTGAGCCTGTAACCTCAGAATTAGGATGCAGAGACAAATAGATGGATCCCAGCAATATCTTCTTCAGCCCGCCTAGCTGAAAGGGCAAGTTGCCAGCTCATTGTGAACCCTGTCTCAAAGCAACAAGGCAGAGCTCTATGTGGCCACTGCCCAGGAATATGTGCTCACATCCTTACATGTATGTCAAACACACCGGGTGGGTAAAATCCACTTTGCAAAGATATAAAGCCACAGGACTTGATTACAGGAGTCTGTGACTTATTACCAGAGGACTTCTCCCCCTAGACGTCATTCAGCATGGAAGATTTTCAGTGGAAGATGTTCAAGGCTATTTAATGTCTCATAGCTTATGTTCTATCCAGAACAAATCTTTGGGTCCCCCCCCCCCCGTTTAGATAAACTATGATATATTAAGTGGCATATTTTGGATACAAGCATAAATTTTCTTTGACACAATTTTCCTTGAGAATAAATCTCTGAAATGTATAAATCAGTGACAAGTGTGATATGTCTACTACTGGCAATTTTATAAATGTATCAGAAATAAACCGTTGCTTTTAGGCCAAGTTGCTAGCAGGGAGGAAGGGAGAGGTGTAGCGATTAACATCTAGCAGGTACTTCATCTGGGAAATGGAGAGCAATCTTGAAAAACAGTGTAAAAGACTTTCCATGTAGAAATGGAAATAAATAGAAATTAAAGGGCAAAGAACAGGAATGCTGAGAAATTTAATTAGCGCATCTATTTCCTAGTTATAACCACCACATCCCTCATTTCTAGTACTTTTTCTTTACTTTGCTAGAGAGTTAAAATTGTGGGGCAAGTAAGAGTACTTGCTGTTCTTCCAGATGACCCAAGTTAGATTCCCAGCACCCATGTCAACCAGCTCAGCAACTCCTCTAACTCCATCTCCTGGGTGCCCTCTTCTGGCATCTGAGAGAACCCACACATGTGGCATATATACACACCCAAATAAGTAAATAAATAAAATAAAATTTTTTAAAAAATAGTCATGAATTGTTAATATATAAAGAATTGAACTTGCTGAATATAATCTGCCCTCTACAGGTTCATTTCAAGAGGCATGGTTCCAGTGTGGTGTTGAAGTAGAGCCTCCCAGAGATGGGCCTGAGGAGGTTCTTAAGGCTGTGAAAGCTCTGCCCTCAAGAGCTTTTAGTGCTATTCTTGACAAGTGGGTTGGGTCTCACAGTAATTGCTACTCCACAAAGCAGATTGTTACAGTGTAACACCATGCTACACAACTGGTCCTTCTGCCTCTCTGACTTCTTGGATTGCAGCCAAGGAGTCTCCAAGTCATGGTGCAGCCGGACTCAGAACCACATAAACCTCTGTAAATTACCTAGCCTAAGGTACTTTCTTACAGCATCACAAAATATACAAAGACAGGTAATGATTCTAAGGTTGTGCACACACTAGTGAAGGTACGGAAGAAGGGGGAGGTGCTGTCGGGGCATTTAAAACATGTGCTGCATGTGAAACACCCCCCACCCCCATATACTGTACATTTCAGTTGTTTCTGAGTGCTGAGAAGGGTGATTTAATATTAAATAATCTTAATTCCTCCTTCAATGTTAGGGTTATATATAACATATGAACATATTTGTGAGTAATCTTTTTTTTATGTGTAGGAGTATATTGCCTGCATATGTATTAAGTGTACCTGTGTCATGCAATGCTCTCGGAGGTCAGAAGAGGGCGTTGGAGTCCCTCGAACTGGAGTTACAGGTGGTTGTTAGCCACTATGTGGGTGCTGGAAATTGAACACGGGTCCTCTGCAAGAGCAGTCACTGTTCTTAAATGCTGAGCCATCTCTCCAGCCCCTGTGAGTAATCGTTAAAAATTAATAGCATACTCTTTGCATCCTGTTTTCCTCACTGTAGTTTGTTTTCTAATATTTGAATGTAAGGAGTCTTTTCTTCTAAGTGAAACTGTCCTACAGGGTAGTAGAAGCTGGCCATGACACCTGTAATCCCAACATTTGGGAAGTTGAGACCGGAATTGTGAATTTGACCAAGCACATTTCTTTGCCTTTTTTTCTACAAAATTTATTTGCTTACTTAAATGTATTTCTTTTGCAACACTTGGAATCTCCCTTTCAGCTTACACTTTTTGGTTTAGCCAAAAGACTTTTTAAATTTACTGCAAAATATAAAAATGTTATGAGTTATAAATAATAGAGAAGTTATAGCGGCATATAGACGCTGAGTCACTATTTGGGTTTAGTGCTCTCTATCATGCAGAGGGGCCAAGAAGATACGGCCTTTGATGTGTTGGCAGCCTAGACTTTTGCTAATGTGTGAGTGGGAGTGAGTTATGTAAGTCAGCTCTACCCTCATCCCCACGCTTCACTTCAGGTGACATCTTTTGAAACTTTAAAGCATTTTTATGTTTGAAGCAGTATTCTTAGAACAAAACGTAACATAAGCCATGCACACAGCCACCATCACTGCTTGTTCTTTAAAGCATTAGCAGCTATGGACCGGCGAGGCAGCTCAACATGTAAGGATGCTTCTCCCACAAGCCTACCAACTTGAGTTCAATCCCAGGACTCTAGTAATGGCAAAAGAGAAAATCAGCTCCACAAAGTTGTTCATTGACCTCCACACACACTCCAAGGCATGTCCTGCATGGACATTGTGCTGGTAGATTTTTTTTGTGTTAACTTGGCACAAGCTAGAGACCCCCGGGAAGAGGGAACCTCAGTTGATGCATTTCTTCCATCAGATTGGCCTGTGGCATTTTATTGATTGTTAATTGATGTAGGAGGGCCCAGCCCACTGTGGGTGGTACCATCCCTAGGCAGGTGGTCCTGGGCTGTATAAGAAAGGTAGCTGAGCACCGGGCATGGTGGCACACACCTTTAATCCCAGCACTTGGGATGTAAAGGCAGGCAGATCTCTGTGAGTTCAAGGCCAGCCTGGTCTACATAATGAGTTCAGGCCAGCTGGGGCTACAGGGAGACCCTGTCTCAAAAAGAAAAAAAAAAAGAAAGGAAGAAAGGTAGTTGAGCAAGACAGAGGAAAGAAGCTACCTCCATGGTCTCTGCTTCAGTTCCTGTCTCCAGGTTTCTCCCTTGAGTTCTTTCCTTTTCTCCCTGATGATGGACTGTAAAGTATAAGAACAAATAAACCCTTTCTTTCTGAAGTTGTTTTTGGTCAGAGTGGTTTATTGCAGCAAATAGGACACATGAAATTAATAGGGCAGGAGAGATGGTGCATTGCTTGAGAGCACTGACTGTTTTTGCAGAGAACCCAGGCTCAGTTTCCAGCACCCATGGGGTGACTCACAACTGTTCATAACACCAGTTCCAGGGAATCTGATGCCCTTTTCTGGCCTCCATGCATTCTACATGCACATGGCACATTTACATGTAGGCAAAGCCTCATACACACAAATACAAAAATAAATAAGTATAAAGAAATCTCATATTTCAGCAAGTTTTGAAGCAATAATAAAATGAGCTAATACGTATTCAGTAACTGATAAGTTTAGGTCAAGTAAATGCTGGACTTTCTAACTAAATCTGAGACTTCAAAGTAAAATGATAATTTAACAATAAGACTTCAACTTATAAATAAGATGTGTTAGAAGAGTTAGTATAATGTTGAGCACAGATTGCATTTGTATTTGCAGAGTCTGTTTTCTTTGTTTTGTTAACAGTCTAATGTAGCACATGCTGGCTTCTTGCTAGGTGACTGAGGCTTGCTGTGAATTCTTGATTTTTCTGCCTGTCTCCCATGTTCTGGGATTATAGGTGTGAGCCACCATGCTAGTTGACTTTTTTTTTTTTTTTTTTAAAGACAGGATCTCCCTGTAGCCCCAGCTGGCCTAGAACTCACTATATAGACCAGGCTGGCCTCAAACTCAAGAGATCTACCTGCCTCTGCCTCTACCTGCCCAGCACTATCCCAAGTGCTGGGATAAAGGTGTGCACCATCACACCCAGATGACGTTTTTTATATGTAGAAAATATGCAGGACACTGGGCATGGTGGCTCACATCTATAATCCCAGTACTCAGAAGGCTGAGGCAGCAGAATCATGAATTTGAGGCCAGCCTGGCTACATAATGAATTCAAGACCAGCCTGGGCTTTTTAAAAAACAAAACAAAACAAAACGGTTGAAGAGATGGCTCAGTGGTTAAGAGCACTGGCTACTCTTGCAGAGGACCCAGGTTCTATTCCCAGCACCCACATGGTGGCTAACAACCATCCATAACTTAAGTTTCAGGGAATCCAACACCCTCTTCTGACTTCCACAGGCACTGCACGACACGGGTGCACTTACATACATGCAGGCAATACATTCATACACATAAAATAAAAATAAAATATTTTTTAAAAAGAAAAGAAAACAAAAACACTATTGAACAAATAAGAACTGAAGAAAATTATAAAATTCAAACTTGCTAAACGTGAGAACGATTAGTATTTAATCAAGATTCAGTCTTAACCCTGTTTCACAAAGTAAAAGGGAAATAGAAGAGGCGTATAGGTTCGTTCTGAAAAACAGGTTTCCCTGAATACAGTTTCTCATGTGAGTTTTTGTTTAGTAATAGACAATTTACAAAGTTTTTTGTAGCCAAACAGGCAGACTTCCTATGGCTTTCATTCCACATGCTGTTGGAGAAAAGCTACAAGAACAACACTGGTCACACTTTCATGCAATTTCCTAGGGGTCCTAAATTAATAGAATTCTTCCAAAATTTATTTAAAACATTTATTTATTTATTTATTTATTTAAATATTCAGCAACAATGATGCATTTTAGAATTGTAACACACACTGGGCATGGTGGTGCACACCTTTAATCCCAGTACTTGGGAGGCAGAAGTAGGTGGATCTCTGTGAGTTTGAGGCCAGCCTGGTCTACATAGCAAGTTCCAGGTCAGCTGGGGCTACAGGGAGACCCTGTCTCAAAAAGACCAAAAAAAAAAAAAAAAGTTATAGCACAGTGAAAAAAAGG